AACCCTAACCCTAACCCTAACCCTAACCCTAACCCTAACCCTAACCCTAACCCTAACCCTAACCCTAACCCTAACCCTAACCCTAACCCTAACCCTAACCCTAACCCTAACCCTAACCCTAACCCTAACCCTAACCCTAACCCTAACCCTAACCCTAACCCTAACCCTAACCCTAACCCTAACCCTAACCCTAACCCTAACCCTAACCCTAACCCTAACCCTAACCCTAACCCTAACCCTAACCCTAACCCTAACCCTAACCCTAACCCTAACCCTAACCCTAACCCTAACCCTAACCCTAACCCTAACCCTAACCCTAACCCTAACCCTAACCCTAACCCTAACCCTAACGGTAAACGTTAAATACTAGTGGAGCCGCGGCAAAGTACTAAAATGCGCGGGCAATTCTAAAATTGATAATGTCGCCGCGCCTCACGTCTTGTATTATTAGACAACAACATCAAATTCACTGTCCATATTTTGTAACAAAATCTAAAATTTCATAATACATGGTGTTGTATATGTTTTAATATCACTATAACTAAAGCGGACAAGCTTTTTATTTTACAACAATATCATTCGGTCTCCTTGTCACTGTAACACTTTGAAAGAAACACGAAGATTGAACAGCGAGACAGAGAATGGACAGTGAGACAGAAATTGAACAGTCAGACAGGGAATGAACACCGAGAAAGATTGATAGGTAAGACAGGGAATTGACTCTAAAATAGAGAATGAACACTGATGCAGAGATTGAATAATGAGACGGAGAATTAACGTCGAGACAGGAATGAACAGTGATTTAATAGTTAAACAAAGAATGATCACTGAGAAAGAGATTGAATAGTTAAACAAATAATGAACGTCGAGACAGATTGAATAGTGAGACGGAGAATGAACGTCGAGACAGAGAATGAACATTGAGACAGATTGAATAGTGAGACGGAGAATGAACGTCGAGACAGAGAATGAACATTGAGACAGATTGAATAGTGAGACGGAGAATGAACGTCGAGACAGAGAATGAACATTGAGACAGATTAAATAGTCAGACGGAGAATAAATGTCGAGACAGAGAATGAACGCTGAGACAAAGATTGAATAGTTAAACAAGAAAATGAACACTGAGACAGAGATTGAATAGTTAAACAGAGAATGAACGTTGAGACCGATTGAATAGTGAGATGGAGACAGATCGAATAGTTAGACGGAGAATATCATAATATGGTTAGTTTAATATCTAATATCTAAAATGATTGCACGGCTTTTAAAGTAATATATTATCAAACATTATCTTATCTATGTTATCTAATTTAGTTTCTTTTGTAAATATAGGATGCCACATCATTGACGGTATCTGACAGTTTCTTATATAATAATGCACGGACATCATCGTCCATCACGTCAAACTCAGGATCATCAACGAAGGAAGTTATTCTGTTTGAAAGCTCCCGCCAATCTCCTTTATAGTCTATGTCCCGTTTCTTCTTTCTTTTATCCCCATTTCCTCCAACCTCATCATCTTCTACTTCTTCATCCTCGTCTTCTGATGCTGGATAATCGCAGCATTTGTTTACATCTGCATCAGCTGGCCATATCCCAATATCACTTCCTGCAAAAATAATATCGGATTTTATATTTTGACTATTATAAGAATTGGAAGCAAAGCAATAGGGAAAACCTGGCAAACCCTGCGGAGATGTGATTTATGAGTCTGATGGCAGAGAGTGATAACCCACTTTAACAGACAAAATTATCTTTGTCTTTCCAACCCTGATAACAACCAGGGTCCACACGGATACCTCGCCTCGGAGGTCGAAGTAATGCCCTGCCTTTGATATTGATAATAATATTTACTGTTGGAAACTTCATATTTTCTCTACTAGCAGGCTCCACACCTCCTACATCGACGCGGACGCACTGCCATAGCACATGAACGAGTTATGAACCTCAATTTTGTCTTGTCTATTCAAATTGGAATGTAAACATGCATACAGATCAATTTAACAGACCTTTATCTTTTACGAAGAACAGTATGTTTCTGTAATCTTCAGGTAGGTCCTCCCATTGCATTTCATTAAACCATCATCAATAGCTTGAAAAATATGTCTGCAGGTGCAAGTTGGTCCTCTGATGTTCAGTTGGTGGGGCTCAGACCGGTGAGAGGATTTCACATAGAATACTCCATCAACGACCTTGCACACTTTGCTTGACCGTTTACCTTCTAAAATTACTGGCTGTTGTTCAAAAAATCAAACCAAGAGAGAACACATAATATTTTGTCGCTTTATAATTCAAATTATTACAAAAAAATACTCGATTCTCCAGAAATTTGCCTTGCACATATTATGTAGTGATATAGCACCAAGTTAGTGTCGTCGTTTTAAGCGGGTTTGAAACTTTTAACTCACCCTTATCGTATTTCAGTCGAAGTTTTCTCTTCTTTTTCCACCAATCCCAGAGAAGTTTGAGTGGAAGAGTAATTAATGAGGGAAACGTAGAGTAACACTGATGAAGACAGAGAGTTACCACTAAATGGGAGAGTAACTACTGAGCATGAGGGAAATGTAGAGTATCACTGACGAAGACAGAGAGTTAATACTGAGTGGGAGAATAACTTCTGAAGGAAATGTCTAGAGTAACACTGATGAAGATAGAGAGTTAACACTGATTGGGAGAATAACTACTGAGGGAAAGACAGAGAAGTTAACAGAGAGTTAACTCTCAGTGTGAGAGTAACTACTGAGTACTGAGGGAAATGTAGAATAACACTGATGAAGACAGAGAGTTAATACTGAGTGGGAGAGTAGCTACTGAGGGAAATATAGAATAACACTGACGAAGACAGAGAGTTAATACTTAGTGGGAGAATAACTACTGAGCATGAGGGAAATGTAGAGTATCACTGACAAAGACAGAGAGTTAATACTGAGTGAGGGAATAACTTCTGAAGGAAATGTCTAGAGTAACACTGGTGAAGATAGAGAGTTAACACTGATTGGGAGAATAACTACTGAGGGAAAGACAGAGAAGTTAACAGAGAGTTAACTCTCAGTGTGAGAGTAACTACTGAGTACTGAGGGAAATGTAGAATAACACTGACGAAGACAGAGAGTTAATACTGAGTGGAAGAGTAGCTACTGAGGGAAATGTAGAGTATCACTGACGAAGACAGAGAGTTAATACTGAGTGGGAGAATAACTGCTGAGGGAAATGTAGAGTAATACTGACGAAGACAGAGAGTTAATACTGAGTGGGAGAATAACTACTGAGGGAAATGTAGAGTAATACTGACGAAGACAGAGAGTTAATACTGAGTGGGAGAATAACTACTGAGCAAAATATAGAGTAACACTGACAAAGACAGAGAGTTAACTCTCAGTGTGATAGTAACTACTGAGGGAAATATAGAGTAACACTGACGAAGACAGAGAGTTAATACTGAGTGGGAGAATAACTAAGATGAGAGAAATGTAGAGTAACACTGATGACGACAGAGAGTTAAAACTGAGTGAAAGAGTAACTACTGAGAGAAATGTAGAGTTACACTGATAGAGACAGAGAGTTAACTCTCAGTGTGAGAGTAACTATACTGAGGGAAATGTAGAATAACACTGATGAAGACAGAGAGTTAATACTGAGTGGGAGAGTAGCTACTGAGGGAAATATAATAGAGTAACACTCACGAAGACAGAGAGTTAATACTGAGTCGAGTGGGAGATTAACTTCTGAAGGAAATGTCTAGAGTAACACTGATGAAGATAGAGAGTTAACACTGATTGGGAGAATAACTACTGAGGGAAATATAGAGTAACACTGACGAAGACAGAGAGTTAATACTGAGTGGAAGAATAACTGCTGAGAGAAATGTAGAGTAACACTGATGAAGACAGAGAGCTAGAGTTAATACTGCGTGGGAGAATAACTACTGAGAGAAATGTAGAGTAACACTGATGAAGACAGAGAGTTGATACTGAGTGGGAGAATAATTACTGAGAGAAATGTAGAGTAATACTGACGAAGACAGAGAGTTAATACTGAGTGGGAGAATAACTACTGAGCGAAATATAGAGTAACACTGACGAAGACAGAGAGTTAACTCTCAGTGTGAGAGTAACTACTGAGGGAAATGTAGAATAACACTGATGAAGACAGAGAGTTAATACTGAGTGGGAGAGTAGCTAGTGAGGGAAATATAGAGTAACACTGACGAAGACAGAGAGTTAACTCTCAGTGTGATAGTAACTACTGAGGGAAATATAGAGTAACACTGACGAAGACAGAGAGTTAATACTGAGTGGGAGAATAACTAAGATGAGAGAAATGTAGAGTAACACTGATGACGACAGAGAGTTAAAACTGAGTGAAAGAGTAACTACTGAGAGAAATGTAGAGTTACACTGATAGAGACAGAGAGTTAACTCTCAGTGTGAGAGTAACTATACTGAGGGAAATGTAGAATAACACTGATGAAGACAGAGAGTTAATACTGAGTGGGAGAGTAGCTACTGAGGGAAATATAATAGAGTAACACTCACGAAGACAGAGAGTTAATACTGAGTCGAGTGGGAGATTAACTTCTGAAGGAAATGTCTAGAGTAACACTGATGAAGATAGAGAGTTAACACTGATTGGGAGAATAACTACTGAGGGAAATATAGAGTAACACTGACGAAGACAGAGAGCTAGAGATAATACTGAGTGGAAGAATAACTGCTGAGAGAAATGTAGAGTAACACTGATGAAGACAGAGAGCTAGAGTTAATACTGAGTGGGAGAATAACTACTGAGAGAAATGTAGAGTAACACTGATGAAGACAGAGAGTTGATACTGAGTGGGAGAATAATTACTGAGAGAAATGTAGAGTAATACTGACTAAGACAGAGAGTTAATACTGAGTGGGAGAATAACTACTGAGCGAAATATAGAGTAACACTGACGAAGACAGAGAGTTAACTCTCAGTGTGAGAGTAACTACTGAGGGAAATGTAGAATAACACTGATGAAGACAGAGAGTTAATACTGAGTGGGAGAGTAGCTACTGAGGGAAATATAGAGTAACACTGACGAAGACAGAGAGTTAATACTGAGTGGGAGAATAACTTCTGAACGAAATGTCTAGAGTAACACTGATGAAGATAGAGAGTTAACACTGATTGGGAGAATAACTACTGAGGGAAATATAGAGTAACACTGATGAAGACAGAGAGTTAATACTGAGTGGAAGAATAACTGCAGAGAGAAATGTAGAGTAACACTGATGAAGACAGAGAGTTAATACTGAGTGGAAGAGTAACTACTGAGAGAAATGTAGAGTAACACTGATGAAGACAGAGAGTGAACAATGAGTAGGGGGACATAAAATATGAAGTGCATGATAGTTGAATTACTCACACTGTAACTTTGATGTTATTCGATGAACCAACAAATCTCACATAGGCACAGAATTTAGTGATCGTTACATCGTTTGCAACACCAATAAAAACCTGAAAAATGGAAGTAATGATGTACTATTATCTCTACTATAGTTCAGAGAATTGTTTCTGTCTGTACGACCGCCCACGTGCAAATTAGATGAGAAATAGGAAGTTGCATAGTAACCATGGTAACGAAGATTGTTGTTCCCACGTGCACGTGCAAGGATTTGAGAGAGGCATTTTGATCGGTTTTTGTTATTACGTGGTGTTAAGTGCGAGCTATATTTTAAGTGCGGCTGTATCTTCGGTTGTGATGAATATTTTTTTGATGCGATAGAAACTGACTACCAAAGAATAGTATTAGCTTCCTCCCTGTGACCACGGGTTTTCTAGTATAATTATGTAGGGGACAAGGTTACAACGAAACAGAACATCTTACAATCATCAAAAAGCGAAGATTTTATATCAAGATTAATATACAATGTAATATATTATATTTTATATAATATATTGATATTATATAAAGGATCATAGCAAGTATGTTGAACCTGATCATAACAATTTGAGGTTTCAATACTTACGTCTCACATACCTAAAGCCAGTCAATATCTGTTTCAATGTTTCTATCATGGCAGTCCAGAGTAACTATAGCTGTATTCTCTTGCATGTTTATTATCAGTTTCGCATCAATGAGGCAGAAGGAAGTCACTGACGAAACGTATGCATTCAGCATTGCACAACTTGCAATGCACCTATTATGTTGGTAACCGTTGATGCTGTCTGCCAATTCATCACAGCAGATGAAAAAGCACTCGAAACAACAACCATGTAGCTCTTTCAAATTCAAGCTGTATAACTATAGTCTATAATGCATATTATAATATGATCTACTGATGCAGGCGAAGCTAGGTCAGGAACGCAGCAATGTGAAGTGTGAACCGACGAAACCGGAAACAGGTAACCAAAGATCTCTGAATTCTCTGGTCCATTATTCAGTTCTGATGTTTCACACACACATACCTAAAATGAAGTAAATGTTATGAACGGCTATTTTTAAAAGAATACTAGAACTTGTATTATTTTTCTTCCCAATATAAAGATATACCAGTAGTTTGGCTGTTCAATATATTTTCATATTATATAAGATAACTGTATCGAGTGTACTTCTATATAACAAGAATCAGCTCTACAAAAGAGAATTGGAGTTGCTAAAAAATAGCAAAAAAAAACAAATACATCTAAGTTGAGGTCAAACACAATGAAAAGTTTTCCAATGTGAAATTAATAGAAACATTTCCAACGGAAGTTTTTTAGAGGGTGAGACCTTTTTTAAATAAATTGACTGTCTAAAACAGAATCTAAGTAAACTATAGGTAAAAATATAATATTAATCATAAGCTAAAATGTACTAATCTTTGTATTCTAAATGGGGAAAAAGAAGAAACATTGTCAGTCAGTCGAGAAAATTGTCAGTCAGGCTATATGGCAGCTTTGTAGATGTTGTGACTATGCTAGTAGTGGTCCCAGGCTTGCGACTGGAATTGCGGTGTTAAATCGATTTAATGGTACCAACGATCCACCTCCCACTTGTTGTTTGGTACTTAGCATTAATAGTGTTAGCTGTAGCCATTTATAGCAAGAATCTTAAAACTAAAGGGGATGACAAGGAAAAGAGGAAGGAAAAAGAATAACGGGACAAACAATTAATTAAAGTATTTATAGGAGCATTAGATATTGTAATTACAAGCTTCAATAATAAATCACTGACTAAAACTTCTAATTAAAATGACACTTGGTACGCACGCCCATTTTCACTGGTCAGTCTGAACTTCGGTTTAGCACGTTGTACACTTATTCACCTAAGATTCAGAATTTGTTCAGTTTAGCAGAGTTAGTATATACTGCATAGGCTCAATAAAATGTGACCTCCAGATCAGTAAAATTAGGGGCGCTGGGAGAGCTGCATAGAGTTCACTAGTATTTAATATTAGCCTGTACTGGCTCAATAAAATGTGACCTCCAGATCAGTAAAATTAGGGGTGCTGGGAGAGCTGCATAGAGTCCACTAGTATTTAATATTAGCCTGTACTGGCTCAATAAAATGTGACCTCCAAATCAGTAAAATTAGGGGTGCTGGGAGAGCTGCATAGAGTCCACTAGTATTTAATATTAGCCTGTACTGGCTCAATAAAATGTGACCTCCAGATCAGTAAAATTAGGGGCGCTGGGAGAGCTGCATAGAGTCCACTAGTATTTAATATTAGCCTGTACTGGCTCAATAAAATGTGACCTCCAGATCAGTAAAATTAGGGGCGCTGGGAGAGCTGCATAGAGTCCACTAGTATTTAATATTAGCCTGTACTGGCTCAATAAAATGTGACCTCCAGATCAGTAAAATTAGGGGTGCTGGGAGAGCTGCATAGAGTCCACTAGTATTTAATATTAGCCTGTACTGGCTCAATAAAATGTGACCTCCAGATCAGTAAAATTAGGGGCGCTGGGAGAGCTGCATAGAGTCCACTAGTATTTAATATTAGCCTGTACTGGCTCAATAAAATGTGACCTCCAGATCAGTAAAATTAGGGGCGCTGGGAGAGCTGCATAGAGTCCACTAGTATTTAATATTAGCCTGTACTGGCTCAATAAAATGTGACCTCCAGATCAGTAAAATTAGGGGTGCTGGGAGAGCTGCATAGAGTCCACTAGTATTTAATATTAGCCTGTACTGGCTCAATAAAATGTGACCTCCAGATCAGTAAAATTAGGGGCGCTGGGAGAGCTGCATAGAGTCCACTAGTATTTAATATTAGCCTGTACTGGCTCAATAAAATGTGACCTCCAGATCAGTAAAATTAGGGGTGCTGGGAGAGCTGCATAGAGTCCACTAGTATTTAATATTAGCCTGTACTGGCTCAATAAAATGTGACCTCCAGATCAGTAAAATTAGGGGCGCTGGGAGAGCTGCATAGAGTCCACTAGTATTTAATATTAGCCTGTACTGGCTCAATAAAATGTGACCTCCAGATCAGTAAAATTAGGGGTGCTGGGAGAGCTGCATAGAGTCCACTAGTATTTAATATTAGCCTGTACTGGCTCAATAAAATGTGACCTCCAGATCAGTAAAATTAGGGGCGCTGGGAGAGCTGCATAGAGTCCACTAGTATTTAATATTAGCCTGTACTGGCTCAATAAAATGTGACCTCCAGATCAGTAAAATTAGGGGTGCTGGGAGAGCTGCATAGAGTCCACTAGTATTTAATATTAGCCTGTACTGGCTCAATAAAATGTGACCTCCAGATCAGTAAAATTAGGGGTGCTGGGAGAGCTGCATAGAGTCCACTAGTATTTAATATTAGCCTGTACTGGCTCAATAAAATGTGACCTCCAGATCAGTAAAATTAGGGGTGCTGGGAGAGCTGCATAGAGTCCACTAGTATTTAATATTAGCCTGTACTGGCTCAATAAAATGTGACCTCCAGATCAGTAAAATTAGGGGCGCTGGGAGAGCTGCATAGAGTCCACTAGTATTTAATATTAGCCTGTACTGGCTCAATAAAATGTGACCTCCAGATCAGTAAAATTAGGGGCGCTGGGAGAGCTGCATAGAGTCCACTAGTATTTAATATTAGCCTGTACTGGCTCAATAAAATGTGACCTCCAGATCAGTAAAATTAGGGGTGCTGGGAGAGCTGCATAGAGTCCACTAGTATTTAATATTAGCCTGTACTGGCTCAATAAAATGTGACCTCCAGATCAGTAAAATTAGGGGCGCTGGGAGAGCTGCATAGAGTCCACTAGTATTTAATATTAGCCTGTACTGGCTCAATAAAATGTGACCTCCAGATCAGTAAAATTAGGGGTGCTGGGAGAGCTGCATAGAGTCCACTAGTATTTAATATTAGCCTGTACTGGCTCAATAAAATGTGACCTCCAGATCAGTAAAATTAGGGGCGCTGGGAGAGCTGCATAGAGTCCACTAGTATTTAATATTAGCCTGTACTGGCTCAATAAAATGTGACCTCCAGATCAGTAAAATTAGGGGTGCTGGGAGAGCTGCATAGAGTCCACTAGTATTTAATATTAGCCTGTACTGGCTCAATAAAATGTGACCTCCAGATCAGTAAAATTAGGGGTGCTGGGAGAGCTGCATAGAGTCCACTAGTATTTAATATTAGCCTGTACTGGCTCAATAAAATGTGACCTCCAGATCAGTAAAATTAGGGGTGCTGGGAGAGCTGCATAGAGTCCACTAGTATTTAATATTAGCCTGTACTGGCTCAATAAAATGTGACCTCCAGATCAGTAAAATTAGGGGTGCTGGGAGAGCTGCATAGAGTCCACTAGTATTTAATATTAGCCTGTACTGGCTCAATAAAATGTGACCTCCAGATCAGTAAAATTAGGGGTGCTGGGAGAGCTGCATAGAGTCCACTAGTATTTAATATTAGCCTGTACTGGCTCAATAAAATGTGACCTCCAGATCAGTAAAATTAGGGGCGCTGGGAGAGCTGCATAGAGTCCACTAGTATTTAATATTAGCCTGTACTGGCTCAATAAAATGTGACCTCCAGATCAGTAAAATTAGGGGTGCTGGGAGAGCTGCATAGAGTCCACTAGTATTTAATATTAGCCTGTACTGGCTCAATAAAATGTGACCTCCAGATCAGTAAAATTAGGGGTGCTGGGAGAGCTGCATAGAGTCCACTAGTATTTAATATTAGCCTGTACTGGCTCAATAAAATGTGACCTCCAGATCAGTAAAATTAGGGGTGCTGGGAGAGCTGCATAGAGTCCACTAGTATTTAATATTAGCCTGTACTGGCTCAATAAAATGTGACCTCCAGATCAGTAAAATTAGGGGTGCTGGGAGAGCTGCATAGAGTCCACTAGTATTTAATATTAGCCTGTACTGGCTCAATAAAATGTGACCTCCAGATCAGTAAAATTAGGGGCGCTGGGAGAGCTGCATAGAGTCCACTAGTATTTAATATTAGCCTGTACTGGCTCAATAAAATGTGACCTCCAGATCAGTAAAATTAGGGGCGCTGGGAGAGCTGCATAGAGTCCACTAGTATTTAATATTAGCCTGTACTGGCTCAATAAAATGTGACCTCCAGATCAGTAAAATTAGGGGTGCTGGGAGAGCTGCATAGAGTCCACTAGTATTTAATATTAGCCTGTACTGGCTCAATAAAATGTGACCTCCAGATCAGTAAAATTAGGGGCGCTGGGAGAGCTGCATAGAGTCCACTAGTATTTAATATTAGCCTGTACTGGCTCAATAAAATGTGACCTCCAGATCAGTAAAATTAGGGGTGCTGGGAGAGCTGCATAGAGTCCACTAGTATTTAATATTAGCCTGTACTGGCTCAATAAAATGTGACCTCCAGATCAGTAAAATTAGGGGTGCTGGGAGAGCTGCATAGAGTCCACTAGTATTTAATATTAGCCTGTACTGGCTCAATAAAATGTGACCTCCAGATCAGTAAAATTAGGGGTGCTGGGAGAGCTGCATAGAGTCCACTAGTATTTAATATTAGCCTGTACTGGCTCAATAAAATGTGACCTCCAGATCAGTAAAATTAGGGGCGCTGGGAGAGCTGCATAGAGTCCACTAGTATTTAATATTAGCCTGTACTGGCTCAATAAAATGTGACCTCCAGATCAGTAAAATTAGGGGTGCTGGGAGAGCTGCATAGAGTCCACTAGTATTTAATATTAGCCTGTACTGGCTCAATAAAATGTGACCTCCAGATCAGTAAAATTAGGGGCGCTGGGAGAGCTGCATAGAGTCCACTAGTATTTAATATTAGCCTGTACTGGCTCAATAAAATGTGACCTCCAGATCAGTAAAATTAGGGGTGCTGGGAGAGCTGCATAGAGTCCACTAGTATTTAATATTAGCCTGTACTGGCTCAATAAAATGTGACCTCCAGATCAGTAAAATTAGGGGTGCTGGGAGAGCTGCATAGAGTCCACTAGTATTTAATATTAGCCTGTACTGGCTCAATAAAATGTGACCTCCAGA